TATTGTCATACAGTCATAAGGGAATGTTTGCTTCAAATATGAGAAAATTGAGACCTGGCTCATCATATTCACCAGGTGGCAGTGTAGTGATGTGTTTGCTATTTTAAATATAGTGAGCAAAAATGTAGAAGTTGCTTTGATAAATTGTGAGAAAAGCATTGTAACTCGATATCTAAAAGTTGTGTTCTTGGTACAGTAACACTGGCTCACATTTATTGTAGTGTCAAAATGTATTCAAATATTTGTTTGCTTCTACTAGGCTTCTGAATAAGAAGTCGTATAACCAAGGGAACGGCTGATATGACAGAAATGCAGATGGACCAAGCTCTGGCCAAACAACTTTTTTTTGAAGGTGCCACAGTTATAATTTTGAAAATGCCAGAAGGAACTGAGTTTGGCATTGACTACAACAGTTGGCAAATTGGTCCCAAATTCTGTGGAGTCAAGATGATACCGCCAGGCATTCATTTTTTTCATTACAGCAGTGTTGACAAAGACAATAGGAAAGAAAGTGGTCCTCGTACTGGTTTCTTCTTAAACTTGCAACAACGTGATTTAAAGATATTACACTGGGACAAACAAAAAGAAGAAGTAGACCTCACCCCAGCTTCTGAAAATGAGTCTGAAGCCATGAGAGCCAATCTCAAAGAGATGGACAAATGTTTGGGTCCATATCCATATAACACCCTTAAAAAATGGGTCTCCCTCACTAATTTTATTAATGAATTTGTGATGCAAAAGTTGCAGCCCGAAAATGGACAGATATGTGCCTTTTCTGAAGTGTTGCCCGTTCTGCCTGGAAAATATACTAAAGATCGAATTGAACAGAAGCTACCCCAGTATGACACAGAATGCAAAAGTTATGCAGAAGGACTGGCCCGGCTTCCTAAAATGCAGCTGAAGCCTGGCACTGAGATCAGATTCACAAAAATACCTAAACAAATGTATCCTGAAGGTGCCACACCTGAGGAAGTTACCAAGCACAGTATAGATCTCAGTTATGCTCTAGAAACAGTGATTAATCAACACTATGCCAGCAATTCCAAGGATGTGCTTGGTAAGTAAATATGCCTTCTCAGACCTATTTTTCATTGTCTACATTTTTTTTGACATCTGTATATGTGTTATACTTTAGATACACTCAGGATTATCTTGTAACTTTCATAACCAAACCGTTACAAATTAATTTTGCAAAGTAAGTAAACAATCCTGTTAGTATAGAAACTTTCTTGGGCATTTTTGTATTTTGGGATATGAATTATAAAGCCAAGTCCATAAGATCAAATAGCTGTCATAATACATTTTCTCCCAGCTTTGCAAATTAACTAGTACTATTAAACAACTATGTTTGAGCAATTGATATAAGAAATGAATTAAAACAGTCAATAAATTATCATGTGCAGTACTAGTGACCCCTTGTGGAAGGTTTAAAACAACACAATACCCAGCATTTAATGGCAATCCTCTGGCATTCTCATAGTAGTACTGCTTTTCAACATACTTTTGTAGCAAATTCTCACTCTAATTAAGTTATGCACATGGTCAAATATGTATTCTAAGAATGTTGGTTTGTATAAATACCCTATAAGTGAAACAACAAATGCAAACAAATGATTATGGCCCACTCAAGATTATTTGGTAGAAATAAAGTGACTCTGTAGTCCTTACTAATTTATACTAAAGTAAAACACTTGTGCAGTAAAAATACATTTAATTTGGTTTTACAAGTAATTATATGCTTGCCTCCAAAAATCACTTTATGATCAAGTATAATTTTCTCTTTGATGAGAAGGTTATCCAGCTATATCCATTCTTTAAGCAGACAAAGATACAAAACAGTAGACATCTCTCCTGTTTCTTATCTTCGGCATGAAACTGCAGAATTGAGAGCAATTCCTATCCCCCTCTTTCATCCTACTCTCCCAGAATGCTTATTTTTTCCTTCCTTAACATGAATGAAAAGGTACCCATGGATCATTATACTTATCTAGAATAGAATAGTATTCACAGATACCTTATGCCAGGGGTCCCCAACCACCGGGGCGCAGCCCACTATTGGACCATGGCCTTTTCGGAATTGGGCCATGTGAGTGGCTGGCTGGTGTGTGCACGTGTGTACGCAGCTGAACTTGCGTGAGTGGTGGGCTGGCGTGCACTCGTATGTGCACTGACCCACTGCTTGTGCAAGTCAAGCTGCACGCATGCACGCCGGCCCACCACTCACATGGCCCAGTTCCCCTCTCTCTCCCCCCAGCTGGGCCACCAAGCCGCAAAGGTCGGGGAACACTGCCTTATGTTATAAAGAAATATGCAAGTTGTCACAGTATTGTTCAGATATGCTGCAAATACATTTTTTTCTAAATGAATCCATACTAGATGTAGTCATCGACTTACCATTCGTTTAGTAGTGTTCAAAGTTACAACAGCATTAAAAAAAAGTGGCATGACTATTTTTCACACTTACGACCATGGTCATCACCTCCTTCAATCTTTTGACAAAGTCAGTGTGGAAGCCAGATTCACTTAACTGTTATTAAATGAACAACTGCAGTGATTCATTTAACAACGGTGATAAGAAAAGTCGTAAAATGGGGGAAAACTCGCTTAACTGTCTCATTTAGTGACATAAAGTTTGAGCTCAATTGTCATAGGTTGGGGACTATCCGTATACCATTTTCTTTTAATTTTTGCTATTTTTAATGCCACTTCATTCTCCAGAAGAATGAACATAGGTTGAGGATAGGTCACTTAATGGACTGGTATCTATATGTAAGTAAAAATATGCACATTTCGGAAGAGTGGATAAACTGAGTGGAAGATCATATGGATGGGAATTCTAATGTGAGAGATCCTGTGGGTTCCCTTCATTTATTGCTAGATGGGGTTACACTACTGAAAAAAAAATCATTGGTAGCTTGAGATATCCATACGTCAATGTTTGTCCCTGGAAGTATATGTTATCCTGTGTCTTTGAGTTTTCACTTATATACCAGCTCTAGCTGCCCAAGTATAACGCGCTTGTGATAATTTGAGGTCAGACAAATATTGTGTGTTATTTGGAAGATGCTGTTATTCAGAGCACTTGATTGCTAAGAGGAGCTCTGTTTTATACTAGTATATGCCTAGAGGCCATATAATTTTTCTGTTTCCCAATCTAGTTCTAGATCTCAGTCCAGAGTAATGGGGTTTTATTTTGTTTGCTTTCAAGTGTCTTCAGGCCACTGCCTGAACATGTGATTTGCTTTCCTCCTGGTGCTGAAAGAAAATGATTGCCCCAAAGGTCATCCAGCAGCTTTTGTGCCTAAGATGGTCTACCTGTTTCCAATCTGGGTTTTAACCACTACACCAACTGGTTCTAAGTTAGGAGATACTATAATATACTTAATAATATGTTAAATAAATAAGGCAACCATGCAACCAAGATTAAAGCTAAAGTTGTTCTGTATTTCTTACATTTTCTTGGTGGTATCTTTCTAGGGGAGCTACAGTTTGCCTTCATCTGCTTCCTGATTGGGAATGTATATGATGCATTTGAGCACTGGAAAAAACTCCTGAATCTCTTGTGCAGGTCAGAGGATGCCATAGTGAAACATCAAGCCTTGTTCAGCAATCTCATTTCTATCCTGTACCATCAGCTCAGTGAAATCCCAGCTGATTTCTTTGTAGACATAGTATCCCAAGACAACTTTTTAACAAACACTTTGCAGGTAAGAAAATTTCATCTTGAACGGTTTCAGCAGCAACAACAACATGGGAAATTTGCCCAGTAATCATGGGATATATACTGTATTTATCTAAAAGTAAGGTGGGGAAATAGTAAGGAGAGCTTACTGTTTTAAAAGAGAATCATTAGAAAAAAATATTTTGTTTTAGGTAAATACACTAAAATATACTATTTGATTGCATGATAACTCTGACAATATATCGATACTTGGCTGTTTGGAAAAATGTTTTAAAATGTTTCTTTAAAGCGAAATTAAACTTAACATAAAAAATATTCCAAGCAAAATAAAATTAAAAATTTAATCTTGAAATAGAATTAGATGTAATATTTTTCTTGGGTTAATCTCAATATAGATGGTCCTGCAACAAATTCATTCTCCATTTCTTATTTTGTTATTAACAGAATCATTCACCGTTTATTATTTGAAATAACTAATGTGTTTGTCACATCTGACAATAAGTGACTGATTGCAGTTGTGCCTAGTTTTGATCTTAATAATAGACTCTGTTAAAACAGCAATTTAATCAGAAGCACAGTGCTTCCATATCTATGATGAATGTGTGCTATAGTACAGGGGTTTCCAGCCCCTGGTTCATGGACCAGCAGGTCCACAGCATGTCAGCAATGGCCACGTAAACAAGCGAAGCCCCATCCATGAGATGCAGGCAGCAAGCAAAAACCACGCTCCCTCCAGTCCACAGAAAAAACTTTCTCCATAGAACTGGTCCCTGGTGCCCAAAAGGTTGGGGGCTGCTGGTATAGTACATTCCTCCCCAATTTGGAGACTGAACTTCAGTTCACAGAATGCATTAACTAACATTACTTTGTTAAATATTCTGCAATTTGGTCTATACACCCGAAGGGCACTCAGATTGTGGAAGGGTGTTATAAAATTCTTTAGAAACTATATCATTGCTCTTTATATCAGTATGTGGATATGGAATAGACAAGAATTGATATGCAGTAGGAAAAAAATCATAGTTTTTCCCTTGTCCCATATTGTCAGAATGATACGAAACACTCTGTACATGGATATTTTTGATGAATTTAAACTTTTCTGCATTTTATATTGATACAATTGCTTGCGAGATTGTGAGTTTGCCAGCAGCCTCAAACATGCTAACATTTCTTCTCTGAGACATTTTTTCTAACATCTGCCTAAACTTTGATCAAATGTTTTTATAAAGGACATTAATTATTCCTTTGCTTTTCTGCATGCTGTCCTGTCAGTTTCTCATTATTTGTATTTGTATGATAGTTTATTCATTTTTTAGGATAGTTTTTCAGAACCATTAAAATGTTACAAGAAAGATGAACTACGTTTCTATGTGAGAAACTTTATCTTAAAAATTAACTTGGAGTAAAGTTTGATAGCACAGTTTTCCAGTAAACTTGAAGCATAAACATAGTTAATTTTGTCAATTTCCAAAATATCTCAATCAGAGAGTCTCTAGTCATTTAGGCCTAATCCTTTTTGAGAGTAGACAACAGACAGAAAAGGAATAAAAAGTGTTCGTGTATACAGAGAACCCAATAATATTTTGAATTTAACCATGGATAGCTTTTTGTATTTTCTGCACACTCCTAGAGCAATCTTCTTAACAAATTGAAATTCAATGAAGCTGCATAAACACAGATTGTTTAATTACAACATTCAAGCCAGACAATTTTTTTAACGAGATAAATGAAAAAGTTATTTCTTCGCTCTTTTATGGCTGTTATAACAAAGTTTTTGTTAGCAGATGGCAACAGATTTCAAGAAAGCCTTTAAGTGTATATCTGTTTTATTAACCTATTTCCTTCCTTATGTATCATGTCTAATGAAGAACGTTTGGAAACTCAGTAGCCTGCAACTGCTTATTGACCTAAATAAACTTATTTCTTTAGGAGAGAGAGCGAAATTGGTTTTCATGTTTTTCAGCTATTGGCCAATCCTTTGAAATATGTTTTCCCCATCTTCTGTTTCAATAAGGTTTCTTTGTTCCCCACTAGAGAGGCATGAAAAAAATCCAAGAGAGAGCTCAAGGATCTGAATACTGTAGAAAAATTATAAGAGTAAAATATGTCAAATGAAGATCTAATAGATTGAAAAACTAGTTGAGGTGGGCGGATTAATGGGAAGGAAGAAGTGGAGCACTGCATGTACAAATCGTCCTCAGCTTAACAACAGTTCATTTAGTTATAACATCACTGAAAAAAATGACTTATGATCATTTTTCACACTTACAACCATTGCACATCCCCATGATCACGTGATCAGAATTCAGACAACTGACTCATAATTATGATGGTTATTTGACCACCTTTTGTGACCTTTTGACAAGCAAAGTCAATGGGGAAGCCAGATTCACTTAACAACTGTGTAACTAATTGAACAATTGCCATCATTCACTTAACAACTGTGGCAAGGAAGGTCATAAAATGGGGCAAAACTCACTTAACAAATGTCTTGCTTAACAACATAAATTTTGGGCTCAATTGTCGTAAGTCGAGGACTATCTGTATTTGCAGTTTTGTGTGGATAGGCTGATACCAAGGAAGATGTTCTGAAGATTGGCAGGTGAACAGTGAGGATTGATGGCAGATCTTTAGGGTAGAGGGCCAAGTGTACTTTTATGCATGTACAAATGGCAGATGGTTTTAATAGACATTTAGGAGTGGAGATGTAAATGTTTCAAAAATAAAATAGGACACGATGCCAAAAGTTTGGGAATCCTTGTTTAGATTATTTCTTCTTTCTTGAGCCTACAATAGAACTATATTTTTATGATATTATGTTTTAGCTATCAATCTGTTGCCTTGGAAATCAATATATTTAACAAATTTAGACCAGTAGAAAAAAAGAAACTAGGAGACTGAATTTTTAAAATCTAGTGATGGGTCAAATATACCAAAAGAAGGTACCTTTCCTATAAATAAAAAGTTAATGGATTTGTGTAAAAAATATCTAAATTCCTTACAGAGACATGGCTTCTAAACATACGGTCTTAATATAATTTGAATAATATGAATAATGTTTTCCTCTCATGTTCTTTAATGAAGGAAAAACAGAAAATGGGTCAGATCTGGCTGGGAGCTGCAGAGCAAAAATTATTAATAATAATCCAGATTTTTTTCTCCCAGTGTAGTGTCTGGGAAAAGCAATTGAGCAGTGGTATAGCATGCTGCTTCATTCTGAACCCATGACCCAGAGCAGAGCTACTGTTAAAGAGTTGGAAATAATTCCAGAAGCCATGTGTTGTATCCATTCCCTGTATTGTTCTTTACATCAAATCTGCTCTGAATAGCCTCTTAATGGTACCTTTTCCTTTCTCCCTGCCTATATTGTTGGCCACTGTCTTTTTCTCATGTCCACATTATATTGCATCTTTCAGTCATTCTCTCTTTTACAGCATTCTCTTTCGAATAATCTTTAGATTACATTTAGTAACCGTTCATAGTTGTGACAGCACTTAACAAGGAGGACTTACAACCAGCTTTTGAAGTTGAGGCCATCACAGAGTCCCCACAGTTGTGTGATTGTGATTCAGGCATTTGGCAATCAACTCACAATTATGGTTTACCATTACAGTTATTTTTCTATTTATGACTAGTTGTACCCGGCCACGCGTTGCTGTGGCTCAGTCTGGTTAAATGGAAAAGAAAGAAAAGAGAAAGCTTTTATGTCCAACAGATGGCGCTGTTTTTTTAAAAAAAGCACGTTTTTACCTGTCACAGGTGTGACATCTATATAATAGTAGGTATATAAAAACACGCGCGTATTCGAATGCAACATTGTGTCAAAATTTCAAAGCAATCGGTGAAGAACTTTCGGAGATTTAAGATTTTGAACAAACGAACATTTACATTTTTATTTATATATATAGATATATATAATTTGAGATGGTTACAGGACCATTCAGCATTGGACTAATAAATATGGTCAAGCCTAAAATTTAATGTTCATTCTGATCACATTAGACTGAACTATCTTTGTCTGAAAGGATGACCCAATGGGGGATTATAGGATTGTCTAGTCTGTTTTAAGTGTTGTATTAATTGACGTGTAATGTATTTTTAGGTGTTCTTTTCTTACACTTGTAATCCAGCTGTTGACAGGACTCTGAGGAAAAAGGCAGAAAGATTTAAAGCCCACCTAACCAAGAAATTCAAGTGGGACTTTGAGACTGATCCAGAGGACTGTGCCCCCATAGTTGTTGAACTACCAGAAGGAACATTTGTGGACTGAACATGGCTCTATTTTTTTTAATATTACAGTAATTTTCCAGTAATATGTTTCGGCTATGAAACATATTCATCATATTTTGCTTCTTTTTGTACATACAGAACTGTGAGATCAAATATTGTAGAAAGATTTTTTTTATCCTTGTAGAAAAAGTAGACAAGTTTGTATCTAGTCTGCCCTCGAAATGAATTTATTCTCACATTGTTCTTGAGTCTTGGATAACAAAGTTAGGCTTATTTCACTGTGAACATGAATACTGTAACATGTTTTGAACAATATTGAACAAGGAAATATTAAATGTTACTGTTTGAGTTAGTCCAGTAATAATGGTTTTCATTGATTTTAATTTGTGATGGAACTTTCGACTGCATTGGAGCTCTTCTCATTCCATCAGTTTTATTTCATCTACTCCTAGCTTTTCTTAACTTTTTTAAAGTATAAAAATGCAAAGTGAGTTATTGTGAATTGAAAGAAAAAGGTTGTGTTTTAACTTCACAATATTCTGTCTAAGTTGTTTCTAGAAAGCTACATTGAATGTTCTCCATTCTTTTTTTTTTAGTATGTCCTCTCAGGACAGGCTGCTTTCTGCTGTTACTTCACAGGAATGAAAATGTTATAAAATAGCCTGGAGCAAGCAGTAGGGCCTCTTATCTTATAATGTTTTCTCTGGGGTGCAGGATGCTGTTAAATTTTTCAAACATTCCCTACTATGTGAAGATTTAGCTTGCTTATTTCTTTTCAGCCTATAAGGCTCCTTCAAGGATTGCTATGCCTATGTAACAAAATAACTTGCATTACTGTTCAACACAATAAAACTGCCTATATAAGTTTTGCCTATGAATTCTCCCTAATGTCTTCTTTATATGAAATTTCCAAAGGTGTGTGCTTGCTTATTTATTTTATTAAATTTATACACCACTCATCTCACTATTGAAGCAACTGGGAGGCTTGGTCATTACTGATAGTGCTATGGTTGGGATAAAATACCGTTTATCATTCTTGCATCCTTTAAAGTCTCTCTTTCCTACTTAAAGACAACTAGCATTTGAGCACTATAGCTTAGCCCCGAGTTTATTGGACACTTCCAGAAAGCCTCTGGCCTTGTTGGCCTTAACTCTGTGTTGCAGTTTTGCAGCCTTGTTTTGTCTGTCTTCCCCTTGAGCAAGTCATGTTCTTTCCAGATGGCCTTCAGGAGGGTGTTCTGCCCCAATCTCCTTTTTTCACAACTTTTTCAAGTATGTATCTTGGGGTAGAAATTGCCAACAATATCGTGAAAAAGGAATGAAATGCTGCAGTACTAAGTTCAATCTCTTATTAATGACATCTTCTTCACCAGAGAACCTCTTGGAGTGTAAGGCAATGATGAACTAATTTCTAAGTATACACCCACATACATTATTATAAGAACCCTGCCCCAATTTAAGGCAAATATAGTCTGTAGTAAACTTTTAAAAGAATCTTAGTTGATCCTTCCTTCCTTCCTTCCTTCCTTCCTTCCTTCCTTCCTTCCTTCCTTCCTTCCTTCCTTCCTTCCTTCCTTCCTTCCTTCCTTCCTTCCTATTGAAGCTGAGAGATAAAATGCCTGAGTAGTGGAAATATTCCCTATGATTCCCCTTCTCATGCAGTTTTTAAAATATAGCTATTTTTAATAATCTGATTTATATCTGTAGTTTAGATAGAGAGTTATAGAAGGAAATGAAGTATACATGAAAAATATTTTTAATATAGAATAATTTTATAACTTTTTTCCTGGCTATTTTCCCATACATTCTCACAGAATAAAATGTTATTTTTAAAAGAGACCAAATCTTTTGCATGTTACTCTTGCCTCCTTTGTTAAAAAAAGGCATTTATTTTTCATTTAAATATCCTATTATTGTATTATAGATAAATTTCAGGTGGTAAGTTCTTTTTTTAACATAAAGCTGTTTTTTTAACACAAAACTGCTGGTGATGTCTGAGAAGGGGAAAAGAAAATATTTTTTAAATATTTATCTTGTCCATTTTCCAATCAGTCTAGTCTTTTTGTCAGATACAATTTCGGCTTTACTATATCACTTTTATGAGGTTTTCTACATGGTTTACACTTTCATTTTGATTACAGAAATCATAAATGATAGATGGAGTTTTGATTAAGAAGGACTCAGGATGTTTTATTGTTCAGTCTGCTTCATAGAAGTATTGTGTATAATTGATATAAATACGAAGAGAATGAAGAAAATTATTTTAAACTTGGTATTTCTAGATGTGTTTGGTCACAGTTCTTATGATACCAGGAGAAGTGTAAATGTCTCACATAGCTCTGGTTATCCTGCTTTACTGTAGAATTTGTTAATTAACATTTCTTTTTTACAGCTATCTGGGCAATAAAATTAGTTTTATTCTTTCCTATGTATTTTTCATTTGAAAAACATGTTTTAATTTAAGCTAACCCAAGATAATATCATGACACAAATAAATGGTGTTCATTCACTGCAGTAAACTTGACAGCGAAAATATATCCATTTGCAAGATTGGATGTATTTCAATCTTTCAATATTTCACTGAGCCATAAATACATGGGATGAATTTGCATGATATATCAAGTTACAAAACAGCAAACCCAGTTTAGTGTATATTATACAAATCTATGTGCTGGTTTTTAACCTGACTTTTATTAGTCATGTGTGAATATACAGCATTGCATGAGAGAATATATTGAAGGCTCATTAATACTTGCTAAATAAGTGATAACACCTTTTTTTTTTTGAATATTTTAAACAGGAATATTTTTTTGGTCATCCTTGTAAGTGAATACATTTCAATTCCCAAATGGATATGGTCCGTTACTTATTTCTCTTCATGTCCCCGCTAGGGACAATATGATTAACCACTTCCTTAGGTGATTTTTGCATAAATATGAGCTGCAAAGACCGTCAACATGGTTCTGGAGATTGCAAAAATAGGTCGCTTCACAAGGTATTACTATTCAGGTACTGGGGCTGAGAAGGCTGGCTTCCCAGTGGAGCTTATCTCCAGCTTCCAGTGGCGTTCATCAACTTCACCTTGAAGGGCTTTGTGGTCCCCTGAGGGTTGGAAACAAAGAGGCTGTGCTCGAATGTGTCACTGACTTCTCCCGGCAAGCTGATTTGGTGGCTGACATCTCTGAAATTTCTTTAGTTAAGGAAAGGAAAAAAGCAAATAATGCTTCAGATGGAGAGATAATTTATAAGTGCCCTCCAACTTTTTTCTGAATGTGACAGCTTTTTCAATAGGCCAATTTAAGCATACATATTTTTTAAAAATACTTCTACAATTATTTTAAGCATCAAAGGACTGGCAATAGTTAGGTCTTGGTGGTGGGTATTTGTTTTTTTTGTTTTAATAAGGAAACACTTGCCAATTTCAAATAATGCTTAAAAAGTGTTCCAGTTTGAGATTAGTAGGGGTGAGGGTTATATAAATAGATTCAATTGTATTTGGTTGATCAATAATCCAACAACAGAAACCAGCAAGGATCCCAGTGGGTACATTCTCTGATCTGAGCAATAACTAGATCTCTGCTCCTATTTTATTTATCTCGCTATGCCCGCCAAAGCATCTTAAACCACAACTAGTATCCCAATAAGAGAAAACAGGAGCCATTTACAACACAGTGTAAGAACTGTAACACCATTACGTAGGACAAAGAGCTAGAAGACTAATAGAATGCATCTATGAACACCAATTAACAGAAGGCATATGAAAATTCCTTACTCTCACAACAGATGGACAGACTTAACCATTGTTTCAGCTGGGAAACTGTGAGCATCTTAGACCAAGCGAAATCCTCAAATGCTAGGCATTCTCACAAATCAGCCAACAATAGACAGATAAATCATATTTACACATCATTAAAAGCAGGCATTAAAAAAACTAAAAAAAGACCCAAACATATTTCCAGTTATCAACAACTAGATAACCAGGGATAAAAACCAGACAAACAGGCAGAAAACAATAATCAATGAACTACCAAGGAGAAAACCCGCATCATCAAAACCAGGAGGATAAGCTACTGTATATAACCAGATAGCAAACCCCACACTTGCTTACAGTGATGCTATCTAGTTGGGTAAGGAAATGTTTGCAAGCAAACAACCTAGCTCAAAGAGACCAAGGACTCCACAGTTCAACATTACATATATTCTCTTCTATTAGAGGAGATACTTTTACAGAAGAGAAGCATTGCATGGGTTCTTAATCTCTAATCTCATTAGAAATACTATGGTGCAGTTTTACCAGAGATATGGAAGACTTGCATGCAAAAGAGAGCCTGCCCTTTCCCCAATCTCCTTGACATGACTAACATGGAAACATTCTTGTCTGAAATAATGGAGACAGGCAGTAGTGTAGAAAACTCAGAGAAGTTATTTACCTCAAGATATCACTGGTTTATGCATGCACACAATCACATTAAGCTATTATGTGCTAGGTTTGGTTCTGGATTAATATGATAGATCAGTGGTGGTGAACCTATGGCACGGGTGCCAGAGGCGGCACTCAGCCTTCTCTGTGGGCACGCACGCCATCGCCCCAGTCCTAGGCCTTCAGCTGGGTTTTATAAAACCTTTTCGCTTTAGGCCTTCGCCACCGTGTACAAAAAAAAAAAAGGTTCAATCAGTCAATTTCAACTTCTCACGGAAAAAAAAGATCTTGCAAAGTTGGAATTGATTGATTGAACTTTTTACTCCCACCCAGTCTGCCATTACCACCGCAGCTATGCCCAACCAATTGGCCAAGCCCACCCAATTGGCAACACTCAGCCAATGGGCCACACCCACCCAGCACTCGACAGTGCATAAGTGGGTTTTGGGTTGCAGTTTGGGCACTCGGTCTCTAAAAGGTTTGCCATCACTGTGATAGATGAAACCAGCCATTGTTATTTGAAAATCTTGGTTGATGAGTTAGCACTTGAAATGAACCCATTGTGGTTTACTAAGGACTAAAAATAAATAAAACATGTTTTATGTAGTATTTGAACACAGCCAATGATCTACCCTCATATTATGGTTTCTCTGCTGGTTCACGAAGTGACCTTTTCTTAATAGAAAGATCTTACCCCTCCCTTTCCACCCGATGCTTAGATTCAAATTAAATTGGCATTTAGAACATAAAGAATGATTTTTCAAACATTGCTAATGAGATTTAAACACTTTTTTTTCAATCCAGTGGGGGAACTCTTAAATACCTACTCCTTGATGGTATATTCTTACATCTGAATTTGAATGGGTTTATTTCCTTCCTGGGCATGCCTTAGGGTGCTCAATATGCATCCTACTGACAGAAAGAGTTCTGATTAAAAAGATTCATTCATATATCTGGTTCATTTTTCTCGAGTCTAGCTCCTTTATGGCATAAAACTCCCCAAGAGCTTTTCATTTACTTTACTCAACAAGGAGGATGAATTATCATAATGAGGTGTCTCCTGTGTTTTTGCAATTGTCCAAGAAACTGTGCCAGTTACATTTTTCTCTTTATAATGCATTCTCTATCGGCAGGTTGGTGGTGATGGGGAGGGAAACTGAACAATTGCAATAGAAATACAAGGAAAGGAAAGTATTTCCAGTGGGAACTGAAAATATAAGAAGGAAATGTTAATGAAATGGAAATTCACTTATTTTTATAAGTGACTATCAAGATACTTTTCCTTCCTTCAAGGATGAAGTTATTCATTCTGCCATTTTAATGATATCAGTGCTGTCTCATTAAAATATACATGACCTAGATTTTTCTTAAAGGCAGGGTGTACATTCCACCAATTAGCAGACAGAAATTAGAAAGTATATGTTATGCAGGTTACCTAATCAAATTCTTTGAAATGAA